TCCTGCTGATTCATTGTGTGTCAGGAAGCCAAGCATGACATATTAAAAGCCATCTTGGTAGCATTTAGTATTCAGTGCTAACAACTCACCAGCTCATAGGAGTTTTTTCTTTAAATGGGGGACGGAGAAAATCTGCATATTGGATGTGCCAAGGTAGTGGATGATTTGCATTCAGCACCCAGATGTTTTGGGTTTTTTTGCAATCTGTCACCCTTCACTGGCTTTTTATTTTATAACCTTTGTAGCATACAGGGAGCATAAACATTAAAAAAGGTCACACCACATGGACAGAAACTGGAGCCCTTTCAGATCAGCTGGAGCCAAGCTAGAGAAGGACCCTTCCTCAGCAGCAATAGATCATGACAGGACTGTGTTATGCTGGCAGGGCCTGAAAATAACAGGCAGGGTGCTATATGTATTCAGCTATAAAGCTGTTTGCTGTTTCTTAGCTTCCAGCTCACAGCTTGTTTCAGACTAAGAACCCTTGTCATATACACAGACCATGAGACATGATTCACTTACCAGACTTGCTCCTGGAATATGCTGCTCATCACAGGTTTAGCAGCAGTAGGGAGCAAACCCTGACACGCTGCAGGGAAACAGGCTTATATACCTAACTGTGGATCTGAGCTCACTTCTTTAGCAAAGCATTTCTAACGTAACCAGAAATAACTTAATGCAAAGTTTCTGAATAATAATTATAGTTTGGTAACTATATAAAGTATAGCCAAAAGTTTTCCAAATACATTATAATTTGTCAATGTAATTTTTGCAAAACTGCTATTTGAACATCACCTATTAGGCATAACGTCACCTGTGACAGAATAATGTGCCTAGCATACTAAAATGAATGTAAACAAAGGTGCCAAAGCAGTGAGCAAATATAAATTTCGCCTTAAACAAAATAACATACTGCATGTTAAGAGCAAATTCAGAATTGTGAACGTACTAGAAAGCAAAATCTGTTGGGTACAATAACAATAAATGTGGTTGTCAAGCAAGCATAGAGGGGCTTATTACTAAACTAATTGCAGCACTTTAAATAGTGATATGAGGAACAATAGTTTTAATTCTTATTTACAATATTTCTGCAAGTTATTTGGACTCACCAGTAAAAACTTTGAATTCTGTAATCTAAAACTAGGTCAAGATGAGATGCTGTTAGGCAAAGTAACATCAGTGGGTGATAAGGCAACACAACAACAGGTGATTAAAAAAGGAACAAAACTGCTTCACAGAGCAGATCCAGGAACTCTGTTCCACTAGTTGCTTATGACATACTAAATAAGCATCATCAAAGAGGAGAACAGGAGATTCACACAATATTCTGCCTCTTTGAGAACACTTATTATCTTCATCAGCGTACCCTGTTTGTTTCTGATCTTCTTGCATGAAGCAGCTTACAGCTTGTTGAGACTCCAGAGCCTGCAGCTACTTCTGGCTATATAGCAGTTATTAGCCCAATGGGCTCTTGCCAGCATTTCACAACCTCACATCAAGGACCTTCACCACACAGGAATCTGTGTATTTAGAGCCTAATCCTGCAAAGCTGGAGTTCGTGGGACTTCTAACTTTGATTTGGTATATTCTGGTTAAGGATTTTATAATGCAATGTGCAAGGAACCTGCTTTGTATGACAGAGACTCTCCTGAAAAGCAGCAGGGCTCCAGGGCCTGAGCTGCCAGACACAGGGGCATCTTGGAAATGATGTTGCCACCAACCAGCACTCTCCAAAATCTGCAAGTGAGCTCTAGTGCATACAAAAGATAAATAAATAATAGACACACATATAAATCACGTAGAGAGATATTAAAGGAGGCAGAAGATGTTTTGAGTCAGTTTTTATGGAGAAAATATTTTATAAATTTTATTTCCATTGTAACTCAGGTTGAGAATATAAATGTTATGTGAAATTCTGCATCTAAAAATTCTGAGAGGAATCATTTCTTCAAATAATTCACATGCATGTAGTTTAGCATTCATATTTAAATAGCTACAGGCCAAGAGAGAGACCTTCAGTTTGCAACATGTTCTGCAACATCACCCTCCTGTTCATTTTCCCAAATTACTAAAAGCTTGTCTAAATCTGAGGAGGAACTCATACAGTGTGCATTAGTGACTCCCAGAGAATGAGTCAGTCTTCACTGCTGCCAGGCAGTATCCAACTATGAAGGCCTGGCAAAAGATTTGTATCTGCTATTATACTGGTGTCTTTTTTTTGTTGCTGATTTTATTATAAAGCTAGCTAATTGTGTTTTCATATTAAACAGAAATAGACTCCAAAATGCACCTTGGAATTGTACTGTTTTCCTTCAGTGAAGCACAAGTATTATGTCACTTTCAGGTTTTTATTGAAGGTTACATGCACTATTTAGCCATTACAATTTTTCAGCTTAGAGAGCCACCATGAACAGCAAACTGCAATAAAAGGAATACTGTAGTGAATTTTTTCCCTCTGTACATACCAAATCTGGGAATTGCATTGAGAAACCTATGGATATCAGGGAGCAGAGAGCAGTAAACCAATAAACATTAATGTTGCTTTTTATAGGAGCCCTTCAGTTCTGACAAAAAGTATCAGCAGTGGGTTTCTGCTGTTCTTTTGGAGTGGCTTTTGATGGTTTCTGGTGTGCCTTTGAAATTTCTGATGGGAAGTTTTACTGTTCTCTTTGCAGTTCATGGCATTAAGTGGACATGCAGTAATGGGAACAGCAGTTCAGGGTTCTCGGTGGAGCAGCTCGTGCAGCAGATCCTTGATAGTCACCAGACCAAACCACAGCCTCGGACACACAACTGTCTCTGCACTGGTACCTTGGGTGAGTACCTGGGGAGCACACAAAATTATGCAGGTTAGTCCAGATTCAAGTAGGGTCTGTTAGGAACGAAGTGCTAAAAACGATGTATCGTGAAGCAGTGAGAGCAGTCAGTTCAGGTGTGACAGGAGTAGTCTTGAGCAGAAGATGCAGCTGGAACTTCTGGAAGAAATGGCAACAGTCTGTACTATGCAAGTTCTAAAAAATGCTCTTCTTGTGTGACCTGCTCAAAAAGGCATGTTCTCTTCTACCTGATCAAATTTTTTTACTGAAGCCTCAACATTTTATGTTCTTCCCATCTCACCCTCTGAGTTTCTTGCCCTGAGGCCCACTTTGCTGAAGAAAAGGGACTCAGGTGGTTAATTGCAAGGTGTCAGTGGGATAAGACAGGCTTTATTTAGTTATCATGAGAATGCAGGAGATTTCTTTCCTGTTGAAGATGGCTTTGTTTTGAGTGAGACTACAACAGCAAGAAACAGCATCCTTAGCATGAGCGTTTTAGAGAGTGTGGGAAGCTGAGTGATTCACTTTTTCAGCTCATCTGTTTTATAGCCACCCCTGCCTAATACTTTGGTTAAGTGAAATATATGACACATTTATTAGTCTTTAGCAAAATTTATTAAAGAAAGATGGGGGGGGGAGGGGGCAGTTGCATTATACAATCAAGATTTAAGTAAGAGTGATGACCTCTGAAATACCTGAGTTTGGGTTAAAATTCAACCCTTAAGGCTCAGCATTTGATCCAGGCTTGTAGATCTGAACATGAATCCTTTTATTCTTCCCTTTGACGTTTTGTCTTCTGCTAAGTCTGCTGCATGCTTTTTAACATAGCAGTGTTGCTTTGTTTTGTGACAGCTCACACATGGGCACACACATTCCCAGTTCCTTATTGTCATCTGCAAAGATGACAGCATGAAAGCCTCTTCTTTGTTTCTTGTTCATCTCTACACCTAGGAGAATAGAGAGTTTAAATATTGCATTTAGTCTCAGAAGCTCTGCCCTGAACTACTTTAAGTGACCTGATTCAAATCTTGAGCACATAATAGAGAATTTCCCCTTCAAGGGCAAGGAACAAAAGATTTAGTAAATTGTAGCAGCTACATGGACACTTTATGTTACCTAGATACTGGCATTTGTAATAGTAGCCATTAGCTACAAGGAGGTTTCTTTCCCCGTTTAGTCATTATGCAGTACCATAATTAATGTTCTTACCTCAAGAAACATCAAAAATTCCTGGGTTGTTCTTAAAACAACTAAAGCAGTCCCAGTGCCAGAGTCTGTGGCTGAGATGCCTTTGAAGACAGAATTGTTTCCCTCATCCTACCTGATTTCCAAGCTCCCAGGAACTTGGGTGATGTTCATTTTCTGTTGGGCCAGTAAAGGTGCCAGCTGGCTGAACTCCCTGGAGGGTTGTCTCCTAGTGACCTTTGCACGTTCTTCAGCCACTCCAGTACTAACTGTGTGCTCTGCATGCAACCTCTCAGAGTACAAAATGTTTATTTGTCAGCTATTAATGGCTTAAATCAAGAGAAACACATTGCATCCTTAGGGAGGGAAAGCTTTCTTTGTGCTGGCTAATGTACTACTTCTTTAATAATGTGACTGGCAGCTGTAATAGGCACATTGATGGCAAGAAGATAAGGGTTGAACTCTAGGCAGCAGGGTGATGCCAGGAACAGGAGCATGATATGGCATCTGTCACCTCCAGGTTACCAGTCAGCATCCAGCCCACAGGAGCAGTTGTCAAACCCCCTGACATCAGCCTGCAGAGCTGCACGTCTGTTCCAGGAGGTTGAGGTCTTGTCCAGGGTGCAGGTGGAACAGGGCCTGCAAGGCAGAAACCCTCTGCTAGAGCTGACAGCAGCAGCTTTACAGACTCTACATGGAGATCTGGCACGTTTAAATAACTCTGAAACTTCTCACAGATGTTGATTCCTCTCCCCCTAACATGTTGTCTGATGGGGCAGGGAGGAAGAGGGTGAGGAGGGGAGAAGGGTGCACATGTGTACAGTGGATCTATGCATTAAACAGAAAGGGAGCTGTAAATCTGGCACTGGTGAGAAGTTAATTTGATTTCTGAAGCCTCTCTTGCTCTCTCGTACGTGTCCTCACTCTCTCACACACTCTCTGTGTAAGCAAAGCTCTCCTTTTCTGCAGCCGTGACACACAACTGGCATAGTCCTAATTTTGCATTTACTGAATGGCAACTGTTGTTTTTCTCTGGCACAGGGGCAGGAAGCAGTGTGCATCACAAGTGTAACAGTGCCAAACATCGCATCATCTCACCCAAGGTCGAGCCAAGGACAGGTGGGTACAGCACTCATTCAGAGGTGCAAAACAACGATGTCTCTGAAGGAAAGAACGAGCACAGTCATGGCAAGGCCTCCAGCCGAGAGAAGAGGAATGGCAAAGTGGCGAAACCAGTGTTGCTTCATCAAAACAGCACTGAGGTTTCTTCCACCAACCAAGTGGAGGTCCCTGACACAACCCAGAATTCTCCTGTGTCCATCAGCAGTGGGTTAAACAGTGACCCAGATATGGCAGATAGCCCAGCTGTCACGGGTGTGTCCAGTATGGCTGTAGCATCAGTTATGGGAAGCTTGTCACAAAGTGCCACTGTATTTATGTCAGAAGTCACCAGTGAAGCTGTGTATACCATGTCACCCACTTCCGGCCCAAATCAACACCTTCTGTCCTCAGATGCAGCTGCACAAGGACTGGTACTTGCTGTGAGTTCAGATGGACACAAATTTGCTTTTCCAACAACTGGCAGTTCAGAAAGCTTGTCGATGCTACCCAGCACTGTCTCCGAGGAACTTGTGCTCTCCACAACTTTAGATGGAAATAGAAAAATTCCAGAAACCACCATGAATTTTGACCCAGACTGTTTTCTTAACAATCCCAAGCAAGGGCAGACCTATGGTGGAGGAGGTATGAAAAGTGACAGCATCAGTACCAACATAAGGCAGTCACCCACAACAGAACGTAGCTTCAACTTCAATTCAACCCTCACAAAGGAAATTAAAACAGAGGACACATCTTTTGAACAACAGATGTCCAAAGAAGCATTTTCCTCCACTTCTGCATCTAACACTCTCACCCTCACTACTGGTTCAGGTTTGCTTCCATCTGGAGGAGGTCTGAGCCCAAGTACCACCTTGGAGCAGATGGACTTCAGTGCCATTGACTCCAACAAGGACTATTCTTCCAGCTTCAATCAGACTGTCCAGAGCCCTCATGTTCATCAGACCCCTTCCCCCAGCTTCTTTCTGCAGGATGCCAGCAAACCTCTTCCTCTTGAGCAAAACGCTCACAACAATTTGAATGACACAAGCGGCTCATTTGTGAGCACGTTAGGAATCCCCAGTGTGAAAACAGAGTCCTCATCCCAAACCACTTCCAACTGTAATGGCACAGTGGAAACCAGAATAGAGTCCACCTCTTCTCTCCAGCTAATGCAGTTCCAAGCAAACTTCCAGGCTATGACTGCAGAAGCTGAAGTTCCCATGGAGACCTCCCAGCAGGCAGAAGGGAACGAAAATCTACTTAAATCAGGGGATCTTCAGGCCTGCAGCACAGAACACTACTTGCAGTCTGAGGCCAATGGGGGTATCAGGAATGGGAACAATCTCCCTATTCTCCAAGGAAACATGGTACAAGGACTATATCCCGTGGCCCATCCCAGCTTAAATAACTCCTCCAACATGGAGCTTAACTTGGACCACTTTGACATCTCCTTCAGCAACCAGTTTTCTGATCTAATTAATGATTTCATATCGGTGGAAGGTGGGAGCAATGCTCTCTATGGACACCAGCTGGTGTCAGGTGACAGTGCCGGACTGTCTCAGCCTGAAGACAGTAGCAGAGCAACCTACAACCAGGCTGAAATGTGCATTCCTTGCTGCAGTCCTCAGCAAGCCAACATGCAGCTCAGCAGCACAGAGAACGGAGCCAGCACCATGGCCTACATGCACGTGGCTGAGGTGGTCTCAGCGGCTGCGGCACAAGGCACTTTGGGGTTGCTACAGCAGAGCGGGCGCTTGTTCATGGTGACAGATTATTCACCAGAATGGTCTTACCCTGAGGTAAGTCTAGGGATTTTACTCATTAACAGTTTCTGGTTTATCTTTCATTGCTTTGTTAATAGAGGCTCCTAAGAGCTGTTTTGTTAAAGCTTTGACAAGGCTGTAAAAGTATTTCTCTTGCAAGTCAGAGCATCCAAGGCCATTAGCATGTCTGACTATACTCGGTATACTTTTAATTAAGTACTTCATTACTGTGACAAGGCCTTTTCTTTACTTAGGAAGCATCCGAACATAAACGTTTTGTTTCAATGAAGGGGAAAGCATTTCCCACATAATGGCTTCATGGTGCTACCTAGCTGCATTAAAGCAGTAGAGTTTGCAAACTGGAGCTGATCCTTAAGTCTGGCTCTGACATTCTTGGTAGAATAATTCCTGACCTGCATTGCTTTAATGAGTTTAGCATTTACCTCCATCCCACATCAAAATCAGTTGCATTCACCACAAGCTGGAGTTCACCTTTTTTTGTCTGGATGGAAAACAGGGTCTGACTGTACCGGTCCTGCTTCTCTGGGACATAGTACAAGCTGAGTGTCAGCACTGGTGTAACCTAATGACTATTTCACATGGAACAATGGTGGCCTGTTCGCAACTGGGCCCAGTGAGGCTTCGATTGCGAGGAGCACAGTATTCTGGGGGCATCTGGTGATGTTGGGCTACAGACGCTGCTTCTGCTGTCTTGTTTTCTGGACAGTCTGTCTGCCTCTTGGCTGTGTAGAAGGTCCCAAAAGTCACCAGAAAGCCTTAACTAGCAAGCCTGCACCCTTTCTGGTGCAAATCTTTATTTTTTTTCTTCTACTAGAGCAGCCTTCTTTTGTTACCCATTCCTACATTAATGAGTTGTTTGCCTGCACAGCCTCACCAAATGGTTTTCAGAACCAGCACGGGCCCAGGATTGTGTTCTGGCTGTGTGGGCCGCTACCCGGGCTCCAGGTCCTGCTGTGCTGCATCCCCCAGCACCGACCCGACCCTGTTCAGTGTTTGCCGCCCGGCTGCCGGGGCCGCGCTCGGCTGCGGGTCCTGCGGGGGACGGGGCTGCGGGGCTGCTGCCCGGGCACTGGGGCGGCCTC